ACACCACTGGTAGGAACGGGACATTATGCACAGTTTATATCATTTAATCTGCATTCAGAAGACCAAATTAGCCTTGGTGATGAAATGGGATTTATGTGTGTGGAATGTAGTTTGTTTGTTCATTCACTGTTCACTTAAAAGTAGATTAACATTACCTGGAAAACTAGTTCATTAGTTCATTGTGATCTGTAATTGATTTTGTTTCATTTGTTTGTAGGTTTTCAAACTGCTCTGTGACTCTGTGGCTACTTCTGCAAAGTCATGGTGGTCTTACACTGTTAATTGAACTAATCTAAAGACAAAAAGAAAAGATGAATAAAAGATGTCGCTGAAATGAGTGGTTCCTGCATTTCTTTGAGGGAAGCAAGCTTTTTCAAGTTTGGGCAGAAGCTGAGGTGGTTTAAAGAGAGCAAAAAACTTGACAATAATAATATTGATTATTATATCCTACTTGGAAAAAAAGTTGTACACTACTAAATTTAAAACGCTAATAATTTTAAAAATGTTTGGGATAACTTTTTTTTCTATTTCACAAACAATTAAACTTGTGAAAAGTTTATTGTTCTAAGTACATTGAAAATGTTATGAAATACACAGCCGACAGTGGTTTCTGTAGACATGACAAACTGCAAGATTTAATTCCACACTTTCTATTGTAGATCACCAAAAAGCTGGCTGGCCACAGCAAAGGAACGGCTCTGTGGGTGTCGTCAGTCAGCAATGAACTGGGCCAAATATTGAATAGTGTCCTGACTGTCCAGGAGGGTCCAGGACTGGACAAAATGGCTGCAGGACTGATGGAGCGGTACCGCCAGGCTGGGGCTGCACCTCCAAAGGTGCTGTATGTGGACTGTGGCTGCTGTGTTAGTGAAGGCCTCAGCAAGCTGCAGGCCAGGTTTGGAGGGTGGCCAGATATTTACATTCGCCTGGACATTTGGCACTTTATGCGGAGGCTGGCTGTTGGTTGTACCACGGATGCCCACCCTCTGTATCCTGCTTTCATGCGGGCACTGTCCTCCTGCATTTTTGAGTGTTATGCAGGGGACCTTGACCTTCTTCGACGAGCGAAAGAAAGGCAGCTCCAGCAGGAACAGAGGCCAGGTATAACCAACACCATGGTGGACAGGCAGATAACCAAGGAGGAGTTGAGTAATTCCTGTCGTAGGAGAACACGGGGAGAGGACATCACTACTGTCCTTATTGAACGACTGCTGGAGGAGCTGAATGGTCCAAAAGGGAGAGATTTGATGGGGGTTCCCTTACTGGATGAAGTCAGGATAAAACACATCTGGGGTGTCCAAAAACGGCATGTGAAATGCATTCAGGATGTTGCAGGGATTCAGTTGTACACTGAGGGGGGCAGAGTCAACAAGAGCGGAATCAAGTTGACACGTTATCGCTGTTCACGAGGCTCTACATCCCTGGAGTCATTTCATTGTCATTTAAACAGGTTTATTCCAGGTAAGTCGCTTTCTAACATGACTACAACACTTTACTGTATATTTTTTGCAAAACTGGATCAACCAGTATTGTTTCAAAGACATTAATATGATGTGTTGTTTTTTTCCTTTTTTTACAGGAACCAGTGCAAACTTACTGAATTTCCAGCTCTACCTCCTGGAAGGCCTGAATAGATGGAATCAGGATCGGGGTTCTGCAGCAGTGACCAACAAACCATCATCTCTTCTGACATATGCTGGAGACATGACTCGGTCCATAAATCAGAACAGCTTGAAGGTGCTGGGACGAGAGTACGTCCCACAATTTATGCCCCCTTCAAAGTACACAGGTACAAATGAAATATGTGAAGGATAAACAGTTTAAGATAAACTATAGTATAAAAAAATCAATAATATGTAACATGTTTTGGAATGTTTTACTATCAATATGTTTGATTTTCCATAGGTGAGCTACTGGGCGTTGACTACCTTCTAAGTCAAACAGGAAAGCCACTGAAACCCCAGCCTGACTCAGAAGAGACAGATGTTCTGCTGGAAGATGTGGAGGCTAATGTAGCAGAGGAAGATGAAGGCTTTGTGGACGAAGAAGCTTTGGACTTTCTAGTATCAGAGCTAGACGATGAGACCCTTTTCTCAGCTACATCACAGCTCGAATCCTCCACCCAGCCTGCTGCCTCCACCCAGCCAGCTGCCTCCACCCAGCGTGCTGCTCCCTCCACCCAGCCTGCTGCCTCCACTCAGTCTGCTGCCTCCATCCAGTCTGCTGCCTCCACCCAGCCAGCTCCCTCCACCCAGCCAGCTCCCTCCACCCTGTCTGCTGCCTCCACCCAGCCTGGCATTGCTGAGCCTATGTCAGAGGTGGGCATTCATAGTAAGCTGTAGAATTGAAGAAAAATTAAATAAAACTTCAAATAACTTCAACATTATTTATGTTTTCTCAGGGTTTAGATGAGGCCGGTGTACCAGGCCTGGACAAAGTTGACAGCTTGGCTGAGTATCTGGTGGAGCTAAGGAGCAAAACCTCACTGGTGCTGACCAACCAGGAGGTCAGTAACATGCATTGTTGCTTGCTGCAGACATGCACACGCCTTTCACCTCACTTGCATATTGTTGTCCTAATGTAAAATTGTTTTATTTTCCTGTTTAGGTGAGCTGCATTGTTGCTCTGTGGCAGAACCTGCTGGATTTTGATAAACAGAGAACGGTATTTGCTGCAAGACATCAAGAAAGATTGAACACTGGGAGGTTTCGGTCCCCCAAGAAGAGGCAAGAATTTACTCCTGGGGTTGAGAGTGTAAAGAGGCATGCTCTAACCACTCCAGCCCCATCTGCCCAATGGCCAGACTGCTGCCGCTTGGTGGAGACCATCTTTGTCCGACTGTGCAATATCCATCGTAGTCCAAAGAAAAGAGGAGCAGGCACAGTCTCCAGGTGGGATTTGATCCTACAAGACTATAGAAAGATCAGGCAGCTCGTTCTGGCGAATGGAGCTGTGATGGGGCAGACACATTTGCAGCTAGTGGATGTTAGCTACACCACCCTGGTTCAGTGGCATAACAGAAGGGTCAAAAGGCAAGAGACCGCTGTGGTACTTCAAGGGCTAAACCTTCCCAGCCAGTTTTCTGTAGCTGCTGACCCGCTTCTGCCTGCAAATATACGCCCGCATTACGGCGTACCACATTCAGGGCCACTGCATACATATAGGCTACCATCCAACACTGTGGGGCAGTCAAAATTAAAAAGAAAGCTACAATTCACTGATGGGACAAATCCATCAGGACAGCGGCAGGTTCTCTCTGCCCCACCCAAAAGGCCTGAGCTAGTGGCAATTACTCCAATGGCACCACAGGGATCTGTTATCCTCACTACCCAACAGCAACAGAGTTTGTGGAACCTCTCCACCCCTCCTCCACATGCTTATCCTGTGGCCCCTGCTCTGGCCCCTGCTCTGGCTCCCAGAGCAGCCCCTGCTCAACCTGGTAGAGAACCTCGAAAATTGACTCGCAAAGTTTTGCACAAGACATGCAAAAAATGCGGGCAGTTTAGAATAGCTGAAACAGGACACAGCCAATATAGAGGGCAAATTTACTGTCCCTCTAATGAAAGTCTCACTAAAGAGCAGTGGCTGGAACAAATTAAAAAGAAAAAATAAACATTTTCTTTATTTTAAATAACTTCACTGTATATAAGTTTTATTTAGTTCATAGTGTGTTTATTTTGTTTTGGGTTAATGATACAGATATTTATTCTTATTGTCATTGTGTACACAAAGTAATTCAACAAACCATACAGTAAAAGGATTTAAGTCCTTCAGCAAACCACAAATTTCTTGGTTAAGAAAAAGAAATGGGAGACTTCAATGGAAATGTGTTGCATCCAAATGCTGCAATGTTTTGGGACTAACTAAAAATGTTTAATTCACTGTCTTAATTGTTGAATAAATATTTGGTTCTTTTAAACCGATAAGGTCTATGGTCTTTTGTGAGTAAATATTAGCTGCTTCAAATTCTGAATTATTGGTAATTTAAGCATACACTAGAAAAAAGATATTCACTTCACTCAAAGTACTTTAGGAAAGACACTTGCAATTTTAGTTTCAGTCACTGTTTTGCTGTGAAAAATGAAAATAAGCACTGGGTATGATTAAGGACATTAAAATATACTGCATCAAGTATATAGTATACAGTATAATTTAACACATTAATTTGAATATATCAGAATAAAAAAGCAAAATTAATTAAGCAATTCAAAGTTTTAAAAAGAAAGCCTTTTATGACAAGTGTTGGGTTTTAGTTTACAGTACTACACTATCTGTACAAAAAAGCATTTAAAATGTTACTTCATAACACTTAAACATTAATTGTGGGAAATCTTTTCACTAAAACATAGTATGGCGACTGGTAGGATCGAACTCGCGACTCTGGGATCGGCCTCACTCTTCCCCTTTCTTCTCCCCTCCCTTTCTTCCCCCTTCCTTCCTTTCTTTCCCCCCCCCAGCAGACTATTGTTCCCCAGCTTTGGCGCAATCGGTTAGCGCGTTCGGCTGTTAACCGAAAGGTTGGTGGTTCGAGCCCACCCAGGGACGTACGTCTTCATTCTACAAAAAACAATGCATGTTCTGAGTTTGAGGAGCACTGGTTCTTGGACGATATCCAAAATTCTTGGCCGCTGCTTTTGGAAAGTCTTGCTTCAGTCAATAATCGAGGCATGAAAAAGTCCTTGACCGAAGGGAACTTAGGGATTGCTCCATATTTTGACCTGTGGTAACAATGCGATGCAAAGCCAGGATTTTTGACGATAGACGTGGCACTAGTGCGAGCAGCAATATTCAGCAGTGCATCGTCTCTGTGGCGCAATCGGTTAGCGCGTTCGGCTGTTAACCGAAAGGTTGGTGGTTCAAGCCCACATAGGGACGTACGTCTTCATTCTAGAAAAAACACTGCATGTTCTGAGTTTGAGGAGCACTGGTTCTTGGACGATATCCAAAATTTTTGGCCTCTGCTTTTGGAAAGTCTTTCTTCACTCAATAATCGAGGCATGAAAAAGTCCTTGACCAAAGGGAACTTAGGGATTGCTCCATNTTTTNACCTGTGGTAACAATGCGATGCAAAGCCAGGATTTTTGACGAGAGACGTGGCATTTGTTCTCGTAGCGATATTCAGCAGTACATAGTCTCTGTGGCGCAATTGGTTAGCGCGTTCGGCTGTTAACCGAAAGGTTGGTGGTTCGAGCCCACCCAGGGACGTACGTCTACATTCTAGAAAAAACACTGCGTGTTCTGAGTTTGAGGAGCACTGGTTCTTGGACGATATCCAAAATTCTTGGACGCCGCTTTTGGAAAGTCTTGCTTCAGTCAATAATCGAGGCATGAAAAAGTCCTTGACCGAAGGGAACTTATGGATTGCTCCATATTTTGACCTGTGGTAACAATGCGATGCAAAGCCAGGATTTTTGACGAGAGACGTGGCATTTGTTCTCGTAGCGATTTTCAGCAGTACATAGTCTCTGTGGCGCAATCGGTTAGCGCGTTCGGCTGTTAACCGAAAGGTTGGTGGTTCGAGCCCACCCAGGGACGTACGTCTTCATTCTAGAAAAAACAATGCATGTTCTGAGATTGAGGAGCACTGGTTCTTGGACGATATCCAAAATTCTTGGCCGCCACTTTTGGAAAGTCTTTCTTCAGTCAATAATCGAGGCATGAAAAAGTCCTTGACCGAAGGGAACTTATGGATTGCTCCATATTTTGACCTGTGGTAACAATGCGATGCAAAGCCAGGATTTTTGACGAGAGACGAGGCATTTGTTCTCGTAGCGATATTCAGCATTACATAGTCTCTGTGGCGTAATTGGTTAGCGCCTTCGGCTGTTAACCGAAAGGTTGGTGGTTCGAGCCCACCCAGGGACGTACGTCTT